TTTGAGAAGTTGAAAGAACTCTTTTACGAAGTGTGGATGTTTGGTGATAGTGACTTAGAATTTCCATGTTCACAGATCCAGAAATGTTAGTATTTTCACTATTCCAAGTATTTTATATTTTAAATTATTGTAGAAGCTTATTTATAGATGACTTTATTACTAAGCGACACACATTAAGCATTTATGTTTATGGATGTTTGAAATTGAATGTGTTTCATAAGGGTAAGTACAGCCAATCTATGATTGAAATATAAAATTTGAAGTGGCCTATGCGTGGCAGAGTAGAGAACATATATTTATCTATATTTTTGTCTATATTTATCATGTTAAATATTTTGTCTATATTTATTAGTCTACATTTATCATGTTGAGTCTCCTTGACTTTAAAATTCTTCTTTGTTGGAAATGTAATATCCTTTTTTGTTGTGTAATATCACATTTAATTTTGACTGCAAAGGTACTAACACATGATGATGATGATGATTATTTTTAAAGATTTTATTGGGGAATTGGAGGAGGGGAACAGACAAGTTGCTGTCCTTTTTTGTTCTTCAGTCTAGTTGTGGAGGACGTCGCTTCACTGGCCCATTTTGGTATTATCATTGTGCTCTTCCTGGGTGAGGCAGATTGGTCACCGGCCACTGGATGGCCACTCACGGTGGCTCTTGGCAGCTCACACCGGCTGCCGGCTGCTCATGGTAGCTTATGGGAGCCCACTGAAGCTCCACCGCAGCCTACGCTATTGCTGGCAGCCCAGCTCCAGGTGGAGCTGTTGTTTACCATCTTAGCTGTAGGGAGTGCAGCGTCACTGGCCCACATGTGGGATCCGAACTGGGGCCCTGCTGCTCACAGCTGGTGTCCCAAGCCAACTCTTAACCAATGCGCCACTCAACTGGCCCACACATGATTATTTTTTAGTTTTCATCTATTTAAGACATTTTTTTTGCTTTTATTCTCATGACTTCCCTGCTCTGCATTTAGCTTAAGAAAATTTATTCTTTCCCTCATACACTTCTAAAAGGGAAATTTAGAAGGGCCAAATAGCTTAGTTCCCGAGTAGACAAGAATTTTTTTACATAGTGATAATCCAAACACAGGCTATTGTCCACATAGCATGGAAGAAGAATTGGTGAACTCAAGAATGTTCTTCCCTTCTATATTTCTACTATTGAAATAAATTAATAGACACTTTAAACACTGATTTATTTCCCCCTTTATATGATGGTGGAAGTCAATTGATAGAAAACCTGAAAATGGTCAGTAGCCATGTTTCCTGCCATGTGGAGAGAGCTAGTAAGAGGGAATGAAAGCCACTCATGTTGAGAAGCAGTGATAAGAGATTCAGAAGGTTATTGTTATGTTTCAGGTACCTTATCACCAGCCTCATGTCTGTTCTTTCTGTTATTTGGTTAAGTCTTCCTCACCCCATGAAGTAAAAATTCTCATTTTTGGCAAAGCTATTACATTGAGTTGGCTATATGTAGCTTGAATTAGTTTAGGTAAAAAGAGGAAATTGAGGAAAGATCCTGAGGTAGCTTAAAGAATTAAAGGAAGAGTTGTTGATCAGCGAAGTTTCAGGAAGGCAGGAGCAGGCATTCTAGGAAGGACTCAGAGTCTAGGACCAAGAGTTAGGTACCATCAGAACTCACTCTGTGGAGAAATATTTTAATATGTTACCTGCTATGTTTTCCCCCAGTACTTTCATTTATTTGCCCCATAATCCGCTTCCATTCCTGGGCATTTTTGTGTCCATTGCCAGAGAAGAAGATGTTATTAGCAGACTGTGTTTTAAGTCTCGAAAACACAGACCTGAAGGGAATTCAGGCTTTGAAGACTAACAGAGCCATCTAAGTTAGGAGGAAAATAAGAAAGCCCAGATTGAAACCAAGAGAGCTAAGTTGGTGTACTATTGAAAAAGAGGCCCTGCGCCTAATAGATAACTCCATTGCTAGGCAACAAACAGTGAACATTTGTGTTTATTGATGTTTTAAATTGAATGTGTTTCATAATATCAAGTACAGTTGTCCCCCCTTATCTGCAATTTTGCTTCCTGCCATTTTGATTACCCATGGTCAATGGTGGTCCAAAAACGTTAAATGGAAAATTCCAGAAATAAACAATTTATAACTTTTAAAGTGCGCACGGTTCTGAGTAGCATGATGAAATCTTGCATCATCGTGCTCTGTCCTGCCTGGGCATGAGCCAACCCTTTGCCAGCACATCCATGCTGTATCTGTATCTGCTACCTGACCATTCATCACTTAGTAGCGGTCATGGTTATCAAATGGACTGTTGTGATATCACAGTGCATATGTTCAAGTATCCTTTACAGTAGCCTAATGCTATATGTTACAATGCCAACTTCCTCTCATCATGTAGACACTGTATCATCTCACATCATCACAAGAAGAGTGAGTAGAGTACAATAAGATGTTTTGAGAGAGAGAAAGACCACATTCATATAACTTTAACTACAGTATGTTGTTGTAATTGTTTCATTTTATTATTGTTTGTTGTTACTCTCTTACTGTGCCTAATTTATAAATTAAACTTTATCATAGGTATACATATGTAGAAAAAAACACAGTATATACAGGGTTTGGTACTATCCACATTTTGAGGAATCCACTGGGGGTTTTAGAATGTATCCCCACAGATAAGGAGGGAATACTGTACAACTAATCTATAATTGAAACAAAAATTTTGAAGTAAACTATGATGTTTATATCTGAGGACTGAACGTTATAGGGGATCAGCAACAGATACTCCTGAAGAGTTTGGGAGGAATCCAAGAGCTGACAGAGCCACAGAGTAGAAAAAGCCATTGCCCCTTAGCCTGGAGCTAGGGGTGGAGAAAGGACCAGAGCAGTGTTCTTGGCAATTTGAGGTAGCATGGGCCAGTATGTAGGAATGGCTGTGTGAGGAAGGCAGTCACATCTGAACCAACTTCACAGAGTTCCACTTGGCTCAGTAAGATGCAGGAGCAGTACAATAATTCCTGATAGCTATGGTTCTGGGCCTTGGAAAGCCTTACCAAGCTGCGTGTAGCTCGGAGTGGTATTTGGAGAACATTCTTGGTGCATTTCAGAAGAGAATCAGGAGCAAGCAAGGGGATTAATTGATCATGAAGTGACCTTTGGCATGGACTTCGGTAGATGAACACCTGAAAATCAGACAGAATGAGGAGACAGGTGACAAATTCAACAGGTGACCAAGGATCAGAAACTTTGTTTATCCTGGGCCCTGCCTTACCTTCCCGTCCACTGTCCCCTGCTTACAAGTGAGAAGTGAACTTAAGGAAAGAAACATGAACTTGAATTCCTTGAGGTTTAGTTTCTATCCATTGGTAAAACAGGCTCTCACTGAAGAAATTAAGTTCAGTTGCATGAAAACATTGTTGTATTTTTTGAACACCTGCTTATATGGCCTGAAGTTCAACTTCTGTTTTCAACTGTGTTCTTCCACGTGACAGAGAACTGCAAAAGAACCAGACTGCTGGCAGCTGGAGCTTGCAACCACATATATTCACCATCTGGGGGAGAAAAACTCTTTACTCCTTTTACTCACGCCCCTTGGTCCCTCCACCTCAATTCCTGTTTGAAAAACCATAGAAAACAATCTTGACTGGCCTTCTAGTCATGTTCCCCCCTCTCCACCCCCCTATCTTCCATGGACAAATTACAAGGCTGGAAGTATGAGACATTATAATTGATCAAGCTTGGACCACATGCTATGTGACCTCTGAAGCTGGGATGCTGTAACTGGTTGCCCCCCGCTAGACTCATGTGCTTGGAGTTGGAGAAGGAGCAGTTTCTCTGCCAAAAGGTAACACTTTGACCAGAGGAGGAGGAGAAGGGAAACTGACTAAGAAAATAGTAGTGTCCTTCACAATCTGTTTGAATTGGGTATCTATCTAGTAGGACCACTACTCATAAATGTTTCCTTAATGTCACATTGCTATGATCAAGGCAAGTAACTAACATAATTAACAGAATACTGACTATGTCTTATATGGCCCATTAGTTTAGAACTAGAACCCAGGCTCTGAAAAAACAAACAAACCATACACACACACACACACAGAAAAACAATTGGCCTTTACATTGTTAATTTGCAAATTTTGCAGCATATTAACTGTGACTTGTTCTGCTGCTTTTTGCTCTAAATTCCATTTTACTCCTGTGGAGAACAAAGTGCTTAATGTGATGTGAAAACTGGTTTATAGTATATGTGTACCAATCATCAGGGTTATCAGAAATATTGGCCACTTTCCTTTAAGATTCATTGGGACTTAAATCTGAAATGCATTTCTATGAAAACTTCACTTAAATGCATAATTCTGAAATGATTCTAGCCAACTGTTTATTTATAGCAGCCTTTTCTGTAAACAAACAATTCCGTTGGCTTGCCTTTCAACTCCAGACAGCTTTATGATCTGTTTAAAATGCTGTGAGTTTTCTGCTGTTACATAGCTTTTCAGGCAACCAGAATAATATGAGTCTCCCACATTCATGCCAGTAGCATGAAAAGAGCAAGAAAAGATGGTCCAGCAGATTAGGAGCCTAAATGAAGTGCAATGGGGCAGGTTGCAAGTGGCAAGTGAGCCCGAGTTCAATAGTAACTGGGCTGCCTCAGAATGGCATAAGGAGCATCAGAATGGCTCTAGTTCCCAGGAATAGTTTCCAAAGAACGCATCTTAGTACATAGATATTTTCAATTAACTCTTTTTATTTTCTGACTATAAAAGTAACATGATCATTGTAGGTAACTTGGAAAGGTAAAAATGAATGACTAAACAATTTCCCAAACCACAGATAACCACTGTTAATATTTTGGGGTATTTCTTATCATTGTTTCGTGTGTGTATATATATATATATATTTTTTAAAAAGATTTTTATTGGGGAATTGGGGGGATGGGAACAGTGCTGGGGAATTGGGGGAAGGGAAACAGACAAGTTGCTGTCGTTTTGTTCTTCAGTTGTGGAGGACGTTGCTTCACTGGCCCAAGTTGGCACCATCATTGCGCTCTTCCCAGGTGAGTCCGATCAGTCGTATATATTTTTAAAAGCCATTGAGATTATGTTACATATGGAATTCCTATACTATATATGCTATGGAAATTGAGAATAAATATATCCTTTTGGTATGTGAATTTTAAACAGTACTACAGGTAAGTAATTACTGTAATTATTCATAAAATAAGGCATTTTTGTTTTTGTTCTTTTTAATTATGCAAATGGAAAACTACAAAATTTGCCTTTTATACTTCAGTCCAATGCATATTAACTGAGCAATGTCTACATCTAAGATACTGTTATAGACACTTTAGGGGATTAAAAAAAAGTTGATAAGACACAGCTTTTGTCCCCAGGGTATTTATATAGATATATACACAACTAATCATTAGATGAATCAGAAAGTGTTTTATGATAAAATGGTTACAAAATGAATTTCCAAATGATCATAGCCTATAAATAGCATAGCTCCAATTTGGCAGATTACAAAGAAGGGTCAATTTAGTTGTATCTTGGCATTTCGGCCATCAGATGATGGTGATGGGTGATGGTTGAAGGAGGGATGTTGTGGAATGGAAAAAGAACATTGAGGACCGAATAGCGCGCTGAACAATGCTGAACAAAAACAAGAAGCAAAAAAGAAGAAAAAAACAACGGTGTGTTTAGGTAACTACATGTTGTCCTTTGCAGGGGAAGAAAACACTGGTAAGGTAACTCTCATAATATACTGAGAAAAAATTTGAATGTCAGACTGATTTAAATTTTATTTTGTAGGCAGTGGAGAAGCACAGATACTTTTGAGTAGCAGCGTAAAATGATCAGGGCTGTTCCGTAAGAATATTATATGGGACCTAAAATTCTTAAAAAGAATGATACGCTCATTTGTGTGTAGGTAGGTGTTCATATAACTATTTTCTAAATATACTTTTTAAATAGAAATGGTAGATATATTTTCATTTTTTTCTTTCTGTACTCTAAGAATACTTTTTTAGAACTTCTTAGAAGAACATAAACATTTCATGAAATATATTAACGTCTAAACTTCCTTGTCACTGGTATTTTTGAAATTATTTATAACTTGACAAAGAAGTATTCATTTGTTATATGTATATTTGTTTCCTTTGTGTTTTTTTTATGAAATGCTTCATTCACTCAAAAAGGATTTATGAAGCAACTGTATGAGTTAAATGTTATATGATGAGTATTATAGGAACTGTGTCTCTTGGATAATTTGGATTAAACTCTGGGCCTGAAGACAGCATTTTAACAATAAGAATTTTGCATAAAATTCTTTGTACGTAAGAAAAACTATTAGCACTTAAGATAGCCAAACATCCGAGTTGATAGTAATTATCTTGCTTTTAAATATTTGGAAACTCAGATTTTTTACATTTGTTCTTCAATTCTTTTTCCCAAATTTTCAGTGTTTTTTTTTCCACTGCTTTTTAACTATTAATACTTCATTAACTTTGAATTACTAAAAATGTTTTGAAAAAATGAAATGTATTTTAAATGTACTGTTTGTGTTTAATGTAGAAAATTGATTTTAGGCTTTCATTAAATCAGCTTTTACATTATTTGCTCTAAACTTTCCATTGATATATTTCTGGTATAGACAGTGGTACTGGCTAACATTTACTCAAATAAGTTGGTCTGCTAATTATCTGGAAATGGCATGTTAAGTGACTCCAAAGTTTAAACACCCTTATGTAAAAGACTTTCTCTTCTAATGTTTACTATGGTTTCAGAATCCATTATTTAATTAAACACTATATTCTTTATGCAACTAATGCAGTTCAATACAATTAAATATAAGAAGGCATTTACTCAAATCTAAGAATATATTTGAATATTTATGATAATTAATTGTATTAATGAGTTATTTTTTACCATAGCACCTTTTAAGTTTGCAAATACAACTCTTATTTTAGATCCAAATGCCTTTGTATTCATTTCACGAAGCCTCAACACATATTCTGAGATTCCATGTTTGCTACTCTATCACTCTTTTCCCTTCCAAAGGACAGAATAAATTAGAGCAATTGTAGCAACACAGAAGTCACAAAATAAAGACCAACCTTAGTGGTGCTTTTCAGGATCATGATAAAGAAATAGTCTCAAATTGCTCTCATGAAATTTTAACATTTAGGCAATCTCCCACAGTTGGTGCCCCAGGCTTAATTATACATTATCAATCTGGAAGTCACAGCAGAGCATATGTATTATAAACTGTCAAATTACTTAGTGGTTTTTGGCTGTTTAACTGAGCTGGTTAAAATCTAAGCCTGTAAATGTATGTTTAAATATTAATAAATGAATTCATCATTTAATTTTCCTGTTTCAGATGTACTGATTAACCCCAACTGTTTTGAAAATAAGATGTGTGTGTGTTGTAACACACACGCACACACATTTTATTTATTTATTTATCACAATGGAGATTAATGGCAGGCAAAGCAAGTAAAGCAATCATAACCTTTGGAGGGATGAAATTGTTCATGTTTTATGAATGGTGAATCAACTCCACTGGGAATAGTAGGTAACATTTTTACTATATAACTTGTCATTTACACCCCAGAAGTTCATCATATAAACACTCTGAAGTCACAGCTCCAAATCATAGATTCTTTATGTGGTGGGGGCCTTAATTACCATAATTCCAGTCTAACCTCTTTTCCACCCAATGTCGTCCTACAATATCCCCGAAGAACAGTCCTTTGGTCTCTATTTAAAAATATCTAGTGATGAAGAACTCATTGTCTTACCAGGTAGCCCATTCCACTTCTAATGGCTGTGAGAGCTAGAAAGTTATTCTTTTGATTTGGTTTAAATCTGGCTACCTATTCTTTCTGCTTGCTGATTTTAGTTTGGTTTATAGGAGCTATCCAGAAAAATCTACCACTTCTTCATGATTCCAGTGTTTGAAATACACTATCATTTTTGCCTTCCTCCAAAACTAATTTTCTCCAATTTCATTTGGCATGCCTATTGAAATACAGATTTCTGTTTCCTAACTGCCAGAGGCTTTTACTCATTAGGTCTACCCTGGGCCCCAGGGTTTTTGTCTGTTTTGTAGTGGGAGTTGTGTTTGCTGCTATGTGTTTTTATCAGCCTGTTTTCTGTAGAATTTTGGAGGGCCAATGGTTTTCTTCCATTTTGTACTCTATCCCTTTAATTCCAAGCTTGCGGTGTTTCTACTGGTATAATTTTACTTTGGGGTACCACTTTCCCCCTGCTAAGTTATTTAGTTAGGGTGAGATCAACTCTCTATTTTCCCAGGGTGTACAGGTTACTCACACCTGGATAGTCATCATATTCCAACTCATTGGCCTTTGTGACCTAAGTAAGTTAATAAGTAAGACTTGGTTTGGGAGTTATTAGCATATTGGTTTATTGTTTAAAATTGTAAGAGTGGAAGAGTGAGAAGGAAAGTCAAAGAGAGAAGAGGTGAACCAGGACAGAGTAATTAAAATCATTGTTTGTAAAGAGTTTCAAGGAGTGCTGTACCAATATTATGAAATTAATAGTTGAATAGGTCTATGTGTTTTGAAATTAACAACCAAAATACTTGGACAAAATGATTTCTTCATTTTAAGTAACTGTAACATCAGTTATGATTGATTGCTCTCAGCAGGATCTGTATCTGTGTAAATAGGTATATTATTGATTTTGTTTTAAAAAGAGAAGATAGGTGATCTCATTATTTTCTTTTTTAAATCAAAGGTTTCCTTTTAGTGATTTTTCCCCCCCACACTCAAGAATGAATTAGGTTGTTAATCTGTTTTGCTCTAGTAAATCCTATCTTGTTATCATAGAGAAGTTTTTCAATGTGGTAATAATGGCCTAATTGGCAGTGATTTATTTTTACTCATCTATTCAGTCAACAACTCTTTATTGGGCTTCAGATATGCAGCAGGCCTTGTGCCAGAGGGAATGAAATTCAAAGGCGTCCGTTAGCCTAGACTATAACTTCTATAGAAGTTCCTGACTCTGAGCCTGATGCCTAGCAGACATTCAATATTGGATCATATTATCAGAAATCCATACACATGGATGTGGGGTGTTTTACTGTATTAATTTAACGATGGTAGCTTCGAGGAGCCACATTTGGCCTTTAAGTATTGGCTGTGACTCAAACATGAATTGAAGGCTTGGGCCTCTGTAGTTCTTTTCCTTATGGCAGTTATTCCTCATAATACCCAGGTTTAATGATCCTCATTTTTAGTAGTTCACAATGAAATGATTTATAACAATGATGCTGGAATGACAGTCATTAAAATCAATGCAATTTATAACAATGATGCTGGAGTGACACCCTGTTACCACAGTAGGTAATTTTTGGTCCCTAACAGTAATACCTTGGTTTGCGGGCATAATTCGTTCCAGAAACAAACTACTTGTATTGCAAGACATTGCTCGTTTACCAGGTTAAAATGCATTAGAAATGTTTGCTTGTCTTGCAGAACACTCACAAATCAAGTTACTCACAATCCAAGGTTTTACTGTAGTTTACTAGCTTTAGTGGATTGAGTGGTGGCTCCCTCCAAAATCATGTCCACACTCTAAACCTCAGAATCGGTAAATGGGACATTATTTGGGTCTTTGCAGATGTAATCAAGAATATCTAGTTGAGATCCTCCTGAATTATCTGGATGGTCCCTAAATCCAATGACAAGTGTCCTTATAAGAGACAGAAGAGAAGAAGACACAGGCACAGAGAAAACCATGTGAAGATGGAGGCACAGATTGGAGTGATGCAACCACAAGCCAATGAATTCCTGGAGCTACCAAAAACTGGGTGGGGCAAGGAAGGATTCTACCCTAGAGCTTTGGGAGGGAGTACAGACCTGATGACACCTTGAATTTGGACTCCTGGCCTCCAAAATAGTGAAAGAATAAATTTCAGTTGTTTCAAATATTAAGTTTGTGGTCATTTGTTAAGGCAGCCTTAGGAAACTAATAAGCTAGTTTATCCCAATTATCTAATTAAGGATTTTGCTGTGCTGTTTTATTTCATAATAGTTTGGGAAAGTCAGTATCTCTATTCCAATTCCTGTCTCCATGCCATGGAGACATTGGTCTGTTTTTTGAGGTTTGATGAAAACTCAAAGGTTAGTGCTTCTGGGTTATTATCGCCTTTCAAAGATGCCCCAGAAAGTCCATCAGTGCACAAATATGAAATTTCTGAATAAAATGGCCTCAACAAGTGGCCTGGACATCCAAACAGTATTCAGAAAAGTGACACTGGTCCTGGGAAGATATTCCTATAGGGGAAAAGTTCCATTTACAAAGCCCCACAAGTTGGCAAAGTGGCTGGGTTAGGGAGCCAGGAGACCTTGCTTGCAGCCATACCCATCTCTGGGTTACTGTCTCTCTGTGCCTCTGATGCCTCTTCCTATGAGGGTGTTAGGCAAGTTATTTCTAGAGACATTTAGAATTAACCATTCATCCAACCTAGAGCATGTCCACTCCCCTTTATTCATTTTTCCTCACCCTGTTGGTTTCCTTCATAAACTACCATCACAATTGGTAGTTATATGAATACTTGCATGTCTGACTATTACAACTCCAAGATCAAGGAACATAATAACTGCCCCTAGCATATTGTCAGGCACACAGTAGGTCCTCAACAAACCCATGAGTGAACATTTTGAGTGGAGAGGAAGAAAATATCTATTGATATTTATTGTACTTTGGGGTTGGAATCAGGCTGTTGAAGGATTTTTTCCCCCCTACGTCAAAAGCCATTGAATTTCAAGATTGAAAGGTAAGTGGTCATTTAGTCCAACCCCTCACTTGATGCACGAGTGGGCTCTTCAGCCATCCTGACAGCATGACCAAAATGCTTGGCTGAAACATCCTTGCCTAGGAAGATCACTGCCTCACCACTTCTGGTCTTTTCCATTCATTCTCCTTTCCTACTCCTCCCACTTCATTGCAATCTTTATGGTAGCATTTTCCACACCTGGTGGAGCAGAGGCCTTGAAGTCTGCAGGTGGAAGGAACAGAGGGAACCCTAGCCTAACTCAGACTCTGAGAACTACTGGCTGAAGGTGCGAGCGCTGTAGCTGACAGCAGGGTGAAGTAGCGGTGCCCCTTCCTGCTGGGTTGGTCCCTGCTCGCGACCTTGGGGGGCGGAGGCGGGGGCGGGAGCGGGGGCCGGGGCGGGGGCGGGCAGAGGGTCCTCTTCAGTATCTCCGCTTCTCCTCCTGCAGGCCCGCGGCTACGAGCCTCGGTGTTCCCTGCCGCCGCCCGCTGTCACCGTGCTGCCGCGCGTGCCGCTCAGGGTCCCCTCTGCCACCCCCGAGCTGTCGCGTAGAGGCCACCTGGCTCTCTCTGCCTTCTCCCCGTCCCACGCGCGGCCCCTCAGCTCTTCCACGCACACACTCGGCTGCCCTTCTCTCCTGAGAGTTGCCTGGCACCTTCGGCGAGGAGTTTGGAGCCGGCCCGCCGCAGACGCCACACCGGCTGAGCGCGAGCTACGCAGGTGCCCTCACTTCGGTGCCGCTGCCATCTCTGCCTTCCGCCTGGGTTGGACCCCAGCATTGAGGTGGGACCCGCTTCTCTCTCCTCCACCCCCTAACGCCACCTCTTCTCGCTCCCGGGGGATTCGAGGAGCGGGGCGCTGGGCCGCGCGTGTTCCGCGTGGAGCCTGTGGGCCACTTGGGGACCAGGAGTTAGGGGAGTCCTGGAGGCGCCCCGAGACGGGCGCCGGGGATCTCTCGGCTTCCCCGGGGCTGGGAATCGGGGCCCCCCCCGGGGCGAGGAGGATCGGGGAACCGGGCTGATGGCAGCCAGCCCAGTCTGGGCTCGCAACCGCGGGGTACCGCGGAAAGGACGTGCCATCCGGTCAACTTCTTTCCCAGGGCTCCTTCCTACTTTTGGAAACTGAAGAGACTGCGACGTGAACCAGTAAGCCCTGGGGCCCGGAGGAAGGATTTATTGGTTTGGATGCAAAAGCAAAAATTTTGTTGTAGATGTAGACCTGAGCCTCTCTTTTCCACCCTCTCCTGCTCTCCCTAAAGCAAATTAAAAACAAAACAAAACAACAAAACCCAACCCTAACCTAAGTGCTTACTTAAAGGGATTTGTAGAGGCGAGAAAAAGAGACCCAACTGAAGAATTACTTTGGAAGCCCCAGGTATGATGAGGCAGTCTAAGAAAATGGTTATTGTGGGTGCTATATCTAGGGCTTGGATTTGCCAGCAGAAGATGGCACTGGCTCTTGTAAGCCTGAGAGAGTTCCTTATATTGAGGGGTGGCTTGGAGTGTCCTCTGTTAACGTTTATTTCCATCAGTATTAAAGTATCTTGAAACAAGTAGTCTTTCAGAGCTTTGGACTAGGAGGCAGAATTTTGGTATGATTGCCATTTATCTGTGGCTCTGCTGTTAGCTTGACTTCCCCTGGGCCTCACTTTCCTCATCTGTCAAATTAGAGGGTTGGGTTAAGATTCTGAGGGCCTTTTAATAATATCTAAGATGTTTCCCAACTTAAAAATTTGTAATTCTTTAACTCTTTAACACACTACAATCATTACTAGATTCATAATTTTATGACATTTAAAAACATCTATATTGATCTTGGCATTTTGTTTATATGCATTTATGAGTTGTGCTTTTAGGGTTTTACAAACAAAAAATTAAAGAGAAAAAGACGTATAAAAGGACACAGAAATAGTTTATATGTAAATATGTAGATCATCTCTCCCTTTACCTCAAAGAATCCTGTTCAACTTTAAGTTAGTATTTGCAACACTGCAGCAAAAACATGTGACTTTAGCATAACACTTATTCTCTTTCAGTATTGTACATTTGGAGGACATGAAAATTGTTTGGGAGGAAAACAATTGCACCTTTCCTAGCAATTACTGCTCTTGAACAATGTTTGCTACTTTTTAGCATAAAGTTGTGTACAGAATATTAAAAAAAATGGTTTCAGACCACTTCAGATCCTTTCTGAAATTTGCTCAGGAGCAGAGATGCCAATTTTAGTAATGTATTTTTGTTTGTTGTCTTGGATTGAATCCCAGAAAATAGCAGAGGTTAGCTAAACAGATAAATGAGAAATTAGGTTTTCACACACACACACACACACACACACACACACACACACACAGAGTTTTATAAGAAGTGGGTACTATAAGTGTCATCTAGCCTTTCATTTCCTTTTGATAAAAAAATGACAACAAACAACTGTTGGCTTAAGCAGAGAATGTTAAAATGGCTTTTGTTGTTACTTGTAATTCAAAATTATTTGAGACTTAGTCATCAGATTTAGTCATCAGTCATTAGGATAGATTTAGAAGTATTCTGGCTCTTTTTGGTGGCTTTGATCTAAAGTAATGTGTTTCTACCAGCATGTACTTTGTATGCAGTTTGGGATAATGGAGTGGATTTGAAATACTCTTTTATAAACACATTTTAACTTAGTTTCAGTGCCTTTTCACTTTGGGGCTGGAAGTGTCACGAATCATTCACGCATTTGCCTTCCCTCATATTCCCTGGTGAACTAGATGGTCATCTCCTTAGAAACAGATGCTCAAAACGTTCAGCAAATTGGTTGTTGAATGAACAGAAAGTAGTAGAGAGCTTAAATACCCTGGCTTCTCATTGCTGGTTGGAAAACAACTGAAAACAGAGGATGGATCTGACCGCTCAAGGTCCACAGCCAACTCATTCATGGCTTAGAAGTGTCATTCTGGTTGGCAGAAGCTCTATTCCTCTTTTGTAATGTGGGGACTTTACTCTCATGAGTGTACCAAAAAAAACCAGTCATGTCTTTACACTTAGATCACTATTATATAACCAAATGGTTTGTATTTGCAAAGTACAATATCTCAGGGGTACTGGAATAAAATTAAAATGTCCAGAAAAAAAACGAATTGTCTTGGCAAATACTGTACTGCATTTTTCATATTGAGAGCCAAACACACATAACAGTACTAAAAAAATATATGTCCTGTGGAGTTAAAAATGAAGAAAAGGGCTTATAGTTTGCTCTAATTCTTAAGATTTTATGTGATTTACAAATTCCACAATTAATTAAATCAGACAGGCACAAATGTTTACCTACTACTGGCCCACTCTAGTACATATAACCTTTTAGAGTTTAAATTCGATTTGGTCTGCTTATAATTGGGAATATTCTTTCTTAAATACTATTTAAAACTTTTGTGACAATGGTGACATTATCTGTTGTCTTTTCACACACACGATCTTATTAATTAAACAATTTTTTAACACTTTGAACTATAATATTTATAGGGAGAAGTACATAAAATAAATGTACTGGTCAACAATAATAATAATAAATCATTATAGCAGATAATTATAAGGCAAATACCTGAATATTCATGTAAAAAACATTCTTCAATCTCTGAAACTCTTGCTTATTTCTTCCTCATCACAAGTTTAGTTTCACCTTTTTTTTGTTTTTGGAATTTTATGTGACTATAGGAGGCATTCTTTCATAGATTCTTAACATTATGTTTATGAGATTAAGCCATTTCTTTGTTCCCCTTAAAGCAAAAACGTTTATAAAGAGATGTTTGTATTCCCTGTCTCAAATTCATCTCTTTACATTCTCTTAAACCCCTTGCTATCAATCTTTTGTTTTCAGTACTCAACCAAAACTGCTCCTGTCATAGTCACCAATTAAATCACCTCTCCTAAATCCAATAGTCAGTTGTCAGTATTGATCTCACCTCACCCATTTGTACATTGTCACAGTTGTCACCTTCTGCTCCTTGTAATATTTCCTTATTGATTTTCAGGATACTATGCAGTCTTGATGTTCCTCCTTTACTGGCTACTCCTTTCTATTTACTTTGCTGGTCTCTCCTCCCAGAGGTTTTAACCTTAGAATGTCTTAAGGTTTAGTTCTTGGGAGCTCTTTTCTCTATATATTCTTTGATGGTTTCATGCAATCTCTCTATTTTTTTCTGCAGTTTCTATATTTGTACACTGATGACTCCAAAATGATAGCTCACGCCTTGGTGTCGCTCCCCAAACTTCAGACCTCTGTATCCGGCTGCCTACTCAGCATTTCCATTTGGATGTCTAGTAGACATCTCCAGTTCAACATACTCCAAATGGAATCTTCATCTTGACCACGTCTGCACTACCTGCAGTCTTCCCCATCTCCATCCTTCAAATTGCTTAGTCCCCAAACCTTGGAGTCATCTTTGACTTTTCCCATTCCCTCAGACCTCAGATGTAATGTGTCGGGAGATCTTGTTGCTATACCTTCAAAGTAAATCCAGAACGTAATTACTTAGCATCTCCACGCTGCCTCCTTAGTCTGAGCTGCCATAATACCTGACATGGATTATTGCAAGGACCTCCTAACTGGTCTCCATGCTTTCACCCTTGGCCTTCTATAATCCATTTTCAAAATTGCAATTAGAGCTCTTGTTTTTACAGCATATGTCAGATCATGTCACCTTTCTGCTCCAAACTCTTCAATGGCTTTCCAGTTTATTTAGAGTAGGAACCAAAGTCCTTAGAATGGCCTACAAAGCACCGCCTGATCTTTCCCCTCCCCTTCACCTACCTGATCTCATTTCCTACTGTTTTCCTCTCTCGGTTCCAGCCACACTAGTCTCCTTGCTATTCCTTGAGTATATCGGAGACCATCTTTGCACTTTAGCTTCCTCTGCCTGGAATGCTCTGACCTCAGATACCCGCATGGCTTATTACTCTGTTACCATCACTTCCTTTAAGTCTTTGCTCAATTGTCTCCTTTTCAGTGAGGCTTATCCTGAATATCATGTTTAAAATTGCGTATCTTCTTACCTTGCAATACACTCTTTCCGTAGTACTTACCACCTTTTAAAATACTTCTTATTTATCATTTCTTTCCTATTTCATTTCTAGTGGAATTTAAACCCCACGAAGGCAGATTATTTTTCTGTTTTGCTCACTATTGTATCTCTAGTATCTGAAATAGGCCTAGCATATAAGAGATACTCAGTAATTTTTTCATTGATTGGATGCTGACAGTTACTGACAGTGGCTATTACTTGTTCATTTTCATTGCTGGATATATTTCATTATGTGAATATAATATCTTTATTTACTGATTCTGATTACAGATAATCAGGTCACCTCACTCCTTCTTTCCCTTCCTCTCTCCCTGCTGTGTGATGGGTCAGTACTTCAATCCTTTTTATGGCCAAATAATATTCCATTATATGGATATACCACTTTTTGTTTATTCATTCATTAGTTGATGGACATGTAGGTAGTTTCCACTTTTTGGCTACTTTGAATAATATTGCTGCTAACATTTGTGAAGAAGGTTTTGTTTGCATATAAATATCTCTCTTGGGTATATACCTAGGAGTTGAATTGCTGAGTCAGATGGTAACACTGTGTTTAACATTTAGAAATCTGCCAAACTTTTCCAAAGCAGCTTTCATCATTTTACATTCCCACCAGCAATGTACAAGGGTTCCAGTTTCTCTACATCCTTGTTAACACTTGTTATTGTTTGTACTTTTGAATATAGTTGTCCTAGTGGATGTGAAGTGGTATTGTGTTATGGTTTTGATTTGCATTTCCTGATGACTAATGATGTTGAGCATCTTTTCATGTGCTTATTGGCCATTTGTATATTTTCTTTTGGAGAAATGTTCTTTGCTGATTTTTAATTGGGTTATTTGTCATTTTACTATTGTGTTGTAGGAGTTCTTTATATACAGATAAAAATCCATTGTAATGTATATGATTTGCAAATATTTTCACCGGTTTGTGAGTTACCAATGTCCTCTTCTTTTCTAATGTCTAGGCATCTTGTCAAAAATCAATTTGTGAAAAATGTAAGGGTTTATTTCTGGAATCTCCATTCTAATCCATTGATATATATTTCTATGCTTGTACAAGTACCACACTACCTTGATTAGTCGAGCTTT